TAATACATGAAAGCTAGTATATGGCTCAAAACGTGAGGACGGTATAAGGATGGATTTGTTTTCAGAAATGGTTTCTCAAAAGATCTATGTGAATAATTTTTTAAAATGGCAAATGATTTACACTGAGGACCAAGGTACTTCAATGAGCATTAAGAGCATCTCCAGCAGTAGCACCTTCAAATCAGAGCCCCTATTTTTGATTTTAGGGTTTCCCTACTTTTTGAGGGGCTCAAATCAGAGCCCCCACATCATGTTAGTGTTTTTCCACATACTCCATATATGCCTATTTAACATGACATAAATTCAAACAAAAAAAAGAGTTCATATATATGAATAATTTTCAAATCCACAAATTCAAATACTACAATTCAAATTTAAAAACAAATAAAGTGCCATCCCAAGGCCCGCACAGTTTCATCACAACCATAGTTTCACAAACAAATTCCATCACATCAATCAAACTAGGTGAAGCTATAAATAGACCAAAGGTGCTCAAAAAGATCTTCTCGAAGTCTCTCATGTGCTTGCTTGTCTTCAATCTCCTTCTGCACCTCGAGGAACTCCGACAATACAAGTGGATCACATCATCAATACTCCTCCTCCCTCAATACCTCGCCACCATCTTGGTCATAGTCGTATTCTTCGTCGTCTCCCTCATCACACTCATCCTCAGTTATCATGTTGTGCATGATCACAACAGCTGTCATTATATACCAAAGGATATCCTTGTTCCAAAATCTGGCGGGACACCTTACACGATAGCAAATCGTACCTGTAAAACTCCAAATGCTCTCTCCACATCCTTCCTCATGGCTTCTTGAGCCTTGTAGCCACCTTGCAGCCACGGCGAGCCATCATTCTTGAAGGTGCCTCCGTGTGCCTGTGCAGCACAGCACCCCTGTGGAGGACGATTCAACAACACACCTCAATAGATCGGCGACGGGAAGGACAGCTAGTGGCGAACTTAAAAAATCGACGTATGACTTCAACGAATCGGCACACACCTGGACAAATCAACACTATTGTATAGGGTTTGAAGCCATGTCTGCCCAAATCTAGCCGAGCCTCAAGGTAATGGTAGTGAGGGGCGTCGGGGAGGTAGGGGAGGCGGTATCGTCGTGTGGACTTGCCAAGATAGCGCGACGATCGGAGTGAAAATATGGAGAGCGAGAAGAGAGGAAAAGTTATGTGCGGAAGAGAGAAAAAGTTGAGCACGCGGGGAAGGAAACATACCAACTGACCGATAGGGGCCTTGGTGGCCACGTGGGAATGAGGGCTCAGGGGTGGGATTTGAGGGTCTCTTTAATTTGAGCGCTTGAATAATGACGTGTTGAACCTATGTTTCTTTTGTTTGAACCCTCAAATTTTTGTTGAAGGACCTAAATAGGTGCCTATTAGAGTTGCTCTAGATAAAATGCAAGCTAGGGCGCGACTTAAAATGGCGAAGCTACTACTAGCAAATATAACCCGCGCGAGTTAGCACTGAAGAAGCACCCGTATCCGTATGCCTCATCTCGTGCGCATACGGCATGCGCGTACTCCCCATTCCCCAAAATAGCAGTACGGTAGTACCGCACTAGCATCATCATGTGCAGTGTGACGTGTGTCAGTCTGTGAGCGGCGATTGTCGGAGACGTGGGCAGAGGGACTAGGGACTGAGGGGACGAGGAGAGCGGGGCCGTACGCGCGCCGGCGGATGACGACAAGCAGAGCGCCATTATGTTATCGGCGATGTGCATGCATACGTACTCCTATGCCATACGGGTATACGGCGGTGCTGGTGCTGGTGCTGGAGCCGGGGCTGGCTGTCGTCGTCGCTCGTCGCGTCTTCGTCCCGGATCGCCTCGCTCCCGTGTCATTCCCTGTCTGCCTGCCCCGTGACTCCAGCGGTGGCACTGTACAGCACGCTTATCGCGGCTACATGCAAAGCATGCATGTACAGTACAGCACAGCACAGCACAGTACTGTGCTGTTTGTCAGCTTCCTCCGCCTTCCGTTTCTCCAGGCTGTGTACTAGCGCAGTGTTACATGGCTTCATTCAGCGCATGAATTATTCGTAATAACGTGCTACGTACTGTCGGACAAACAGGGGAGAAACAAATTCTATACACATATATACTTATTCCTATAACTGTATAACTAATAATAATAATAATAATAATATAATACATAATATTAACGAGAGACATTTCTCTTGTTTATATTTTCGTTTTCGCGCTGTCCTGAATCTAGCGGTGGATTCAGGAAAAATTTTAGGAGATTGAACAACACATACCTCCGACTGCTCTTCGATCTTAAGTCTCAGTCCCACCTACACTATAGAACTTTGCCTAAAAATTCATGGGGCTCCAGGGGTTCCACTGCTCCGGTATGGGTAGGTGGGGCTCGAGCCCCCCCACCCACCACCGTTGGATCCGCCCCTGCCTGAATCCCTATGTCTTACTTTTCTCGAGCATCACAGTCATATCTATTTTTACTAAGAAATAATAGTACGTGATGAATTCATGATCAAATATAAAAATATTTGACTTGGGATAAAATTAACTAATATGCCATATAATTTAAATCAGAGGGAGAAGTTCACGTGGTGCTCAAGCTAAGGCTGGCTAAGATGATGTTGCAAGTGGTTAATGGTAGTGCCACCAAATTGAAAAGGATGGTGATGGACAATGCTATCAAGAGTGGAGCTCCTAGGGATGAAGGATGAATGATGCATGTTAAGTTGGAGGTGATAGGCGTCTAGGTTGAACGTCCGTGGTGTGGTGCTAGAACAACAAATGCCAAGAACGATACATGACACCTGGCGGAGAGGGGAAGTATAAGATTATAAAAGACAGAGGCGGATCCAGCACCGGGGCGGCAGGGCTCTAGCCCCGCTACCATCGCCAGAATTATGGGCCCCTCCTAGTCATTGAAGTTTAGAAAGAGAGGCTAAATATAGAAAATAAGGATTTTAGGAGTGGACGAATTTCTTGATTTGGCTGGATATATACTTGCATGGCTGAATCTAGATGTGGCCTTTCTCGGCCCAAAAAGAAGAAAAAAGACAGAAATGTAGAGTTCATCCTTATAACATAAGCAGCGACTTCAACCTTACAACTAGTCTACAACCTAGAGATTTTTTCCCCCAATCGTATGTATATGCTAAAAAAATGAAAGAGAGCGAATGACTTCACTGTCTGTTGGTCTCCATGTACAAGTGGAACAGAGTTTCACACACCAAGTATGTTGCTTATTCCTACTGCGTTGAAAGCTCAAACAGGCCTGCTTTCACGCTTCAAATAGAAACAAACAAGATCCCCATAACTCGTCTGCATGGTGCAGACCCTTATCGTTCTCCACCACAAATAAAAAACAAGCAAAGCCAAGTATTATTTTTCTATGCACATACAAGTATATATGCAAACTACCAGTAGCAAAAGTAGTTTATTTATGGGGGCAGAAAAGTGGCAGGGAGACCAGAACATAACTATGTAGACCTTCTAGAAATAACTTCCTATAGAATTTTACCAAGCCACCCGCACCACACACTAGGCAGGATAGCATAAAATGCGATAGTTTTTTTTTTCCACCTTCGATTCCTGAGAAAACTGCTCTCTCCATTTAAAATAAGTGTTGTTATAGTATTCATACCAGTCAAACATTCTTAAGTTTGGCTAAGTTTATAGAGAATATTAGCAATATTTATATCTCCAAATAAATTTGTTATAAAAATAGATTCAACGATCTATCTACTGATATTAATTATATATTATAAATATTAATATTTTCTTGTATATATTTGGTCAAAGCTAAAAACATTTGACTATTCAAAAAGCGAGAACGACATTTATTTTAGAACTGACAGAGTACTAAGGGTCTGTTTGGTTTTTACAGTGCCTCCTAAAATTCCTGTCACATCGAATATTTGACACATGTATGCAATATTAAATATAGACTAATTACGAAACTAATTGCACAACTTACGACTAATTTGTGAGACGAATCTTTTAAACCTAATTAGTCCATGATTTGACAACATCTTGCTACAGTAAACATGTGCTAATGACATATTAATTAGACTTAAAAAAAACATCTCGCAAATTAACCTTCATCTATGTATTTGGTTTTATAATTAATCTATATTTAATACTCCTTATTAGTATCTAAACATTCAATGTGACATGAATTTTAGAAACGACTATAGAACCAAACACCCCTGAAGTTGTTGCGGCAACAATTTCTCCTAGCAGTCACTGTAGCAGCAGCAGCCGCCGCCGCCACGGCTTTTAGCTGTACAAAACAGTCCCCAATTTGTTCTGGTTCACACCCTAGATTGTTTTTTTCAATTTTTGGTGTTATATTTGTTAATACTGGTGATTAAAAGAAAAGAAACGATCATTAAAGCATAAGCTACGAGTTTAATAGACCTTCATACCAACTTTATAATGCTATCAATCTGTAACCATAGATTGCATTGCATAAGACACTTTGGATTTTTCATATCTGCACCAATATCATGTACGTAGAGCTCAAGCTCAGTAGAGTTTACTTTACCAAACGAAAAACATGGTATTGAATGGTGGCAAAAAAAATCACACTTTATCTATCTATATCTATGATTTGCAGCCAAAACAAAGGGGCAAGGTAAAACCTCTTTACCCTTACCCTAAATTATTTCATTACATCCCAATCCCGTGTTCTCCCTGTAAGAACATGTGAAATTGTCCCAAACTCTTGCAAAGTTGCAATGGCAAAGTCTGCTAGATACCCTGCTGAAAATCATGACACTTGCTCCAAACAGGGCATCATGGTTTAAGTATTCATTTTCCTCACAAAGCATGGACCGACCAGAGCTGCTGTCAGACTATACAGAAGTGCACAATGTACACCAGATTATAGTCCATCCAGATTTAATCTGCCATTCACATTTCTCTTTGCTCACAGTTCTAGCAAATCAAAGCAGCGCACATCACCTCAACTATTCAACCACTCTCTTTCATGGAGACCTTCAAACTCATTCAAGGAGTAGGTGGTCCATCAGGCAGCTTTGTCTTCCTCTTCCGGCCAAGAATGGAAGCCTTTTGCAGTCTCACCCCACCTGCTCGCCATTTCTTGAAACCAGCCATCGATTCTCTAGCAGATTCAAACACTACACAAATACCAAAAAAAAAAAAGTTTAGCTGTTGAGGACACATGCCTTACGATGATTACCACAGGGAGATGCTTTCATACCTCGAGTTTCTTCTTTTGTAAGGCGTGGAACAAACTTGGGAACTGTCATCATGGAAGAACTGTGGGACTTGCTTAGAACCTCTTTGTACCTACTGGTGAATGCATATCGCAAGAACAGGCCAATGCTCTTGTCACTCACCCTGTAAATGTGAAAACACAGGAAAATAGCAATATAAAATTATCAGATTTTTTTTTATATGGGAGTCTGACTAACAAATCTCCTGAACCATAAGGAGGCACTGATATCCCAATCCTCCTTATGGCTCATTGAGGGAATAAACTACCAATCCTCAAGTAATACAAGAAACTTATCCTGTACAGGATTTCACACTAGCATTAAGTGAGTCCACGGCTTCAATATTCCATAGCAGTATTAACATCCATAAAAATTGATAGAAAAACACAAAGGACACCAAGGTCTACCAGATTATGATAACATCATTAACATGTGTGCGTAAAAAGCTACACCAGGTCATGGGAAAAGGGAATACCTAAAATAGCTTGAGGCTTCAAGGCTGCCAGAAATATTTAAGCAGTATATATGGGCAACATGGAATAAGTCATTTCAAACTGTAAATTACTAGTGAAAACTTGTGGCATCAAGGCATGTTTGTCAGATTATGATGAAATTATGCATCATGGCGATTCAGAGATGGACCAGTGGTATCAGTGAACTAGTTTCCACCATATAGAACTGAAAGTAGACTGTGCAGAGGGAAAGGGTGGTAACAATGATAAAACCAGCAATGAACTCTTCTCCATCATACAGAATCGAACTGACAATAAACTATCTCTGAATGGAAAATGCAGCAGATCGGTAGACAACCAATATAGATATTCCACTATGAATTAATTGCTTTCCAGGATGAAAGGACCATGATTTTGTAAGAAATACAAGCGAAAACATGTCATTTGGGGGGAATAGATTGATCTCATCATTGAAACAATTGCATTGTTGATTATTAGGCTTATTGTACAGCTAGCGTATTGTCTATTTATAGCTAGCGTATAGTACATGCTGCACTTGTACATGGCCCTATATATATATGAAGGCACCCCTCCCACAATGGGTGTGCGGTGATTCTCCCAAACCTCTCTATCTTTCTACATGGTATCTGTAGTCCAGGTCTCTCTCCGGCCTCTTCCTCTTCTCTAACTCTCCTCCGCGCCGCCGCACCACCGCGCGCATCTTCCCCACACCGCCGTTCTACGGCTGTGCGCTTTCTCCTTCCCCTGAGCCCCTCCCGGCGCTCACCTCTCCGCGACACGCGGAGCCCCCACCGGCACGCCCCCTTCCGGCGCGTGGTCCCGTGAGCCCGCGTGGACTCTGTGGACCCGCTCCCTACTCGCTATCCACGGTGCCTGTGTCCGATCGCCACCCGCTTCCTGTCGCGATCTTTCTGCCTTTGCATGCATACGTTCCTTTACTGCTTCCGCATGCAGCTGTGATCGCTCGCCCTTTCCCTTGTTGCTTCTGCGTCGGCGTTCAACATCCCGCCTTACGCCACCATATCCGTCAAGTCCCACGTGCCAATCACCCTTGAGCTGAAGCCCCCCAACTACACTCGTTGGTCAGCCTTCTTCCTCTCCTTGTGCGGCAAGTTCGGGCTTCGCTCGCACATTGACGGCACGGCAGCGCCGTGTCCTGATGACCAGGCGTGGGCGGCGGCCGATTCCTGTGTCCACAACTGGCTCATGACCACCGCCGAGGATGGTGTCCTCGATCTCGCCTTCGAGCCCGATCATACTGCTCGCCAGCTTTGGACGGAGATCGCGGGCCTCTTCCATGCGAACAAGGCCACCCGCGCTGTATTCCTCAACCACGAGTTCACTCCATGACTCAGGGCGATCTCTCCATCGACGCGTACTGCCAGAAGATGAAGGCCACCGCCGACGCCCTTCGTGACGTTGGTCATATCATCATCGACTCGCAGCTCGGCCTCAACCCTCGCTTCTCCAGCACCAGCTGAGAACATCGCCGATTCCATCCCACTACCCAACTTCGCCATGGCACGTGAGAAGCTGGTGCTCAAGGAACTCCGCCTCGCCAACGAAGGGCAGGTTACGACGCAGACGGCCCTCTATGCGGGGTCACCCTCCTGTGGCTCGGCTTGCCGCTCGACCTCTTCCGGCAGTGGCAGCGGTCACAACGGTGGCGGCTATGGCTGCTCCGCCAGCGGCGGTGGCGGCCCTCGCAACAAGCGCAAGTGTCGAGGCAGCGGTGGCTGTCCTTTCCACGGCGGCAGATGCGGTGCCACTCCACCGGCTGGCCCCTGGGTCTGCTTCAACCATTGGTGCGGCCAGCAGCCACAAGGGCGCCCCCCAGCGCCCCAGCCGGCATGGCGTGCCCCTGGCGTCCTCGGCACCTACCCGCAGGCACACACCGCCTTCACGCCGGCGCAGTACTCCGATGTCACCACCCCTCCACCTGCTGCTTCCCAGCAGGGTGCCGCCGCGTGGAATCAGGCCGACATCATCGCCGCCTCCCTCACTCTGACTCCTTCATCACCGTCGGTAACAGTAGCACCATTCCCATTTCCTGTCGTGGCACATCCACCTTGTCAGCAACTGACACCACCTTTCATCTGAATAATGTTCTTATCGCTCCTACCCTTGTGCGGAATCTTCTCTCTGTTCACCAATTTACTCGCGATAATTCCTGTTCTATTGAGTTTGACGCTTATGGTTTTTCTGTTAAGGACCAGCAAACGGGGCGTGTGATACTTCGCAGCGATAGTAGTGGGGACCTCTACACCTTCTCTCCGTCACCACCCCACAGCTGCAGCCTCGCCACCTCATCCACATTATGGCACCACCGCCTCGGTCATCCCGGTCCTTCTACCCTTGCCACACTAAACAGTCTGTTAGTCATTTCTATGGATGAAAACGGTACGGATATTTATTCGACCGTCCGTTCGACCGAACAAATATGCACACTTATCTGGATAGTTACTCGGATATCCGTAATTTTTTTCGGATACGGATAATAAAACGGATATCTTAGGCGGATATCAAATACGAATGTAATATCATCGATATCCGGCGGATATCGGATAATCCGGTTAAGTATCGGATATATCCGGATATTATTCAAACGGATATTATCCGGATATTATTCAAACGACTTGGACGGAGAAATGATCAAAATAAAAATTGTAGATCTCAAAAAGTTATGAAACTTTGTTGTTTACAACTTTTTCGTTTAAAATCATTTAGTGCTTCAAAATTTAAACCGTCCAAACTTTCTCAAATGGAAAACTAGTTTATAGGCGTCAAAATTTAAAAATCATAAATTTGAACCATCCAAACTATCTCAAATGGAAAGTTGACCAAAACAACAATTGTAGATCTTGATGAGTTGAACAAACTTGGTATTCAAAACTTTTCAATTTGAAGTCATTTAGAGTTCATAATACTAGAGTCAAAGTGTTGTTTTTTCATTTGACCAAATTTGACTTGGTCAAACTTGCTCAAATTAGACACTAAATGACCTCGGATGAAAAAACTACGAATACCAAGTTTGATCATCTCAAAGAAGATCTACAATTGTTACATAGCTCATTTTCCCATTTGAGAAAGTTTTATCAAACACTAGTCACAAATTCTTGAATCTCATAGACTTTCTGAAACTATGTCACACACTTGTGAAATTTGAACTATATTTTGTTCAAACTTTCTCAAATGAAAAAATGGCCTATATAAGGATTGTAGATCTTGATGAGATGAACAAACTTGGTATTCAAAACTTTTCAATTTGAGACAATCTAGGGTTCCGAAAACTAGTTTGTAAACGTTAAAATTTAAAAATCACAAATTTGAACCGTCCAAACTATCTCAAATGAAAAGTTGACCAAAACAACAATTGTAGATCTTGATGAGTTGAACAAACTTGGTATTTAAAACTTTTCAATTTGAAGTCATTTAGAGTTCATAATACTAGAGTCAAAGTGTTGTTTTTTCATTTGACCAAATTTGACTTGGTCAAACTTGCTCAAATGAGACACTAAATAACATCAGATGAAAAAACTCTGAATACCAAGTTTGATCATCTCAGCAAGATCTACAATTGTTACATAGCTCATTTTCCCATTTAAGAAAGTTTTATCAAACACTAGTAACAAATTCTTGAATCTCGTATAGACTTTCTAAAACTATGTCACACACTTGTGAAATTTAAACTACATTTTGTTCAAACTTTCTCAAATGAAAAAAATGGCCTATATAAGGATTGTAGATCTTGAATCCATGACCATGACTCCATGAGACCCATGAAGCCATGAGCTTGGCTATTTCTACTCATGCCGCGAAGATTGGTGCTTGTATGATGTTTGATGTATGATGTATCTGTATCTTTATCTTATTTGTTGCTTTACTCTTTAGTCTTTCGGCTTAATCTAGATGGATTATGGACTCATAGAGTGGTGTAATGGTTTATGCATGCGTATGATATATATATATATATGCTGCTTTTACTCAATATCCGAATAGATATTTGTATCCGACCTTCTCCGAATCCGATTCATACCGTATTCGATACTCATTATTCGTATTCGTAACCGAGTCAATCCGTATTCGTATATGTATCCGAACGCTATCCGTGCCCGAATCCAAATCCGAACAGAAATATGAAAACAAATATAATATGAGTGATATCCGTTCGTATCCGATCCGTTTTCATCCCTAGTCATTTCATGTAATAAGCAACCGCGCTCTCTGTGTCACGCCGTCAGCTTGGCAAACACGCGCAGCTCCCTTTCAGTAGTTCCACCTCCACCACACTACTGCTTTTGAGTTGATTCATTGTGATGTATGGACATCTCCAATACTCAGTAGGGTACAAATACTATCTTGTGTTCCTTGACGATTACACTCATTTCTATTGGTCGTTTTCTTTACACCACAAATCTGATGAACACCACTATATTGTTGAGTTCATTGCCTATGCTAACACGCGGTTCAACGTCACATCGTGGTCATTTCAGGCTGACAATGGCACTAAATTCGTCAATCATGCTACAACTAGCTTCCTCTCCGCCCGCGGTATCCAACTGCGCCTTTCATGCCCCTACACCTCTCAGCAAAATGGCAAAGCTGAACGCATGCTCCGCACCATCAACAACACCATTCGCACCCTGCTGAT